TGAAATAATGAAAGCCAAAAGTATTATTTTTACACAGTTTCAATACGTAAACTGGTATTTTACTTCGGATAATGCAATATAATAATAATCAATTGTCAAATCAAAATGACATTTGTAATGCTTTCAATGAATTTTTTAGTCGTAATTTTAGTCAACCGGCATTACATTATGGAAACTTTATACGTAACAATTTCCTTGGGAATGATGTTATTAGTGATATATATCTTCCTGTCACACACATAAAAAAGCTTCTTGATAATCTCGATTGTTCTAAAGGCGCTGGATGTGATAAAATCCCTCCATATTTCTTTGTGAAGTGTGCAGAATCGCTAGCGGCTTCCATAACATTAATTTTTAATCGGTGTTATGCTGAGGGTTATTTTCCCAAGATTTGGAAAACTGCTAATGTCGTTCCGGTCCATAAAAAAGGAATCAAAACAGCCATCGAGAATTACAGACCTATATCTATTCTTAATGTGTTGAGTAAACTGATCGAGAGAGTTGCGCATATGCATTTGTATCCCCTGATTGTTCATCACATTCCTCCGCAACAGCATGGATTCGTTCGTGGTCGTTCAACCAGTACTAATTTATCAATTTTTTTCAATGATGTTCTTCGAGGTACGGATGATGGTTTTCAGATCGATGCCATTTATACAGATTTCGAGAAGGCTTTTGATCGCGTGGATCATATTATACTTTTGCGTAAACCCCAGGAGCTAGGAATTCATGGAAATCTGCTTAGATGGATAGAGTCCTATCTGCGTAACCGATCTCAGGCTGTTATAATAGCTGGACATCGCTCTGATTTCGTGGGAGTCCCATCTGGAGTCCCACAAGGCTCGATATTGGGACCGTTACTGTATGCATCATACTTGTATGATATAGGAGACTGCTTTAAATTTTCCAATGTATGCAGATGACACTAAAATTTACACATATATTAAGTCTCAGAGACATGCACTTCAAAAAGACTTGAACCAGCTTTATTGTTACTATCATGATAACCGTATTAGTGTTAATATTTCAAAATGTTATCAAATTGGCTTCACCCGTAAAAGGCATCAAATTAAATACCAATATAAATTAGATATATACCTTTGGAACGCATCTACCAAACCAAAGATCTTGGTGTTGTTTTTGATTCCAAAATGCTCATATCTGATCATGTCACGACAATGGTTGCAAAAGCGTATAAAAACTTAGGATTTGTTTTGAGAGTGTGCCGTCAATTCTCAGATTCTGAATGTATTAAAGTTCTGTATTATTCTTATATACGAATTTTTTTGGAGTATTGTTGTGATGTCTGGATTCCAAATTACTTGTCTTACATAGAGAATATAGAGCAAATACAATGTAAATTTATTAAGGCATTAAATTATCGCACACATCATAAAAAAATTAGTTACAAGGAATCTTGCGAACATCATAACTCATTACCGTAAAAGGACCGACGTACACTTCTACAAATTTTGTTTCTTCACGACGTCTGTAGTAATAAAATTAATAGTCCTGAATGGACATTTCAATTCCTACAACTCAACACTCCTTCGAAACATACCAGACACACATCTCTATTTCATGTTCCGTTAAGTCGCTCAAAATATGCTCAAAATTCTGTGATTAGTCGTACTCTTAACTGCTATAACAAAAACTTTTCATCTATTGATATTTTTCACGACAGTAAAGCTTCCATAAAAAAATAAATAAGAAGTAAGTCGTAATAAATAATAATAATAAAACATCACACACAAATCACAAACATGCCATACCTCTTCACATCCTTCCCTACACTAATTGCACTTCACTACTTACATTTAAAAATCACACACACACACACATACACTTAAACTGTGTTTTGTAAAATGCGTACTTTAAAATACCTATAAATATCTTCAAATATGTTGGTAATTCTCTAATGTTATTTCTATATTATATTCACACATTTGTAGCGATATGTTATAAGATTATTTTTATATGAAGTAAGAACCTGTAATTAGCAGTAAAAAATGTAAATATTTACTAACTTTATAATGTTACTAAATGCTGTTGGTTCTGTTGACAATAAAAAAAAGAAAAGAAACATCCTATTTATTTATTTATTCTTTATTGCACCAAATATTTGTACAAAAGGCGAGCTATCTATCTATTTACCTATAGTGAGTAGGTACCTTTTAAACTCACAATTTTCAATTCTTTATTTTTAATATATAATTAATTATAAAATTTCATAATTAGATAATATATGAGAATACATAATTCTAATATAATGCAACTAATATACCGAATAAAAAAAATACATTTATCGTTGTAACGATAAATGTATTTTTTATTTATTTTTTTCCATAAAATAGTTTATTGATGTTGAAAAAATAATACTACGTTCGTACAGTAGGTGGCGTCTTACACATTTCTTACGCGATATATTGTAGCGAGTCGGCGTCGTTCGCATGGAGTAGCCCCTTAACCCTAGAAGCCCAATCTACGTAAATTTGACGTATACCACGGCGAAATATCTCTGTCTCTTTCACGTTTACCGTCGGATCGCCGCTAACTTCTGAACCAACTCAGTAGCCATTGAGACCTCGCAGGACACAGTTGCGTCATCTCGGTAAGTGCCGCCATTTTGTTGTAATACAGAGGTTGCACGTCATTTTGACGTATAATTGGGCTTTGTGTAACTTTTGAAATTGTTTCTAATTTTTTATTTTTGTGATTTATTTGAGTTAATCGTATTGTTTCGTTACATTTTTCATATATATTATTAATATTTTCAGGTTGAATACAAAATGGAGTCCCGTCAATGGCTAAACCAGGACGAATTAGCTACAATTTTAGAAAATGATGACGATTATTCTCCGCTGGATTCAGACTCCAAGGAAGAAGATCCTCTAGTTGAAGATGATGTCTGGAGTGATAACGAGGACGCGATGGTCGACTTCGTTGAAGATACAAGCAGGCAAGAGGACCCCGATAACAATATTGTTTCTCGGGAATCGCCTAATTTTGAGGTAACTTCATTGACTTCACACAGAATAATTATTTTGCCTCAGCGGTCAATACGTGGAAAAAACAACCATGTATGGTCAACTACAAAGGGACGTACGACGGGAAGGACTTCTGCTATCAATATTATACGCACAAATAGGGGACCAACGCGAATGTGTCGCAAGATTATTGACCCATTGCTCTATTTTCAACTTTTTATAACAGACGAGATAATTCATGAAATAGTCAAGTGGACAAACGTCGAGATGATAGTAAAACGACAAAATTTGAAAAACATTTCAGCAAGCTACAGGGATACAAATACAATGGAGATCTGGGCGCTAGTCGGAATTCTCACTCTGACGGCTGTTATGAAAGATAACCACCTCTCAAGTGATGAGTTCTTTGACGCTACATTCTCTGGCACCAGGTATGTATCAGTAATGAGCCGAGAGAGACTTGAATTCCTAATAAGATGTTTGAGAATGGACGATAAAACACTGCGACCAACTCTTCGTAGCGATGATGCTTTTTTACCGATGAGAAAAATATGGGAGATTTTTATCAATCAATGCAGACAAAACTACGTTCCTGGCAGTAACTTGACTGTAGATGAGCAACTGTTGGGTTTTCGCGGCCGTTGTCCATTCCGGATGTATATCCCTAATAAACCTGATAAATATGGCATAAAATTCCCCATGATGTGTGACGCTGCCACAAAGTAAATGATAGATGCCATACCTTACCTTGGTAAACAAATGGTTTACCACTGGGCGAGTTTTATGTAAAACAGCTGAATAAAACAGTACACGGTACAAATAGAAATGTTACCTGCGACAACTGGTTCACGTTTATCCCATTAGCCAAGAACATGCTCCAGGCTCCATACAACCTAACAACAGTAGGAACCATCAGGTCTAACAAAAGAGAAATACCTGAAGAGATCAAGAATTCTCGCTCACGGCCGGTAGGATCCTCAATGTTTTGCTTTGACCTTGGTTTCCTATAAACCAAAGCCGTCGAAAATGGTATTTTTATTGTGTTCTTGTGATGAAAATGCCGTTATCAATGAAAGTAACGGAAAACCGGACATGATATTGTTTTACAATCAAACAAAAGGCGGCGTTGATTCCTTTGATCAGATGTGTAAGTCTATGTCTGCTAACAGGGAGACTAGTAGGTGGCCGATGGCGGTCTTTTATGGGATGTTGAATATGGCGTTTGTGAACTCCTATATAATATACTGTCACAATAAGTTAAATAAACAAGAAAAACCAATGAGCCGCAAAGAATTTATGAAAAAATTAAGCACAGATCTGATGACACCTTGGATGCAAGAAGATTCAAAGTAGGTGCTTGTAGTCAAGCACCTACTTTGAAGAGGACTCTACGCGACAATATAACAAATGTTTTAAAAAATGTGGTACCGCCATCTCCGGAAAATATTAGTGTTGAGCCAGAACCAAAGAAACGACACTATTCTGGATTTTGTTTATATAAAAGAAGGCGGATGACCAAAGCGCAGTGTTGCAAATGCAAAAAGGCTATATGTGGAGAACACAATATTGATGTTTGTCAAGACTGTATATAAAGACTGTTTTTTTCTAAGAGACCAAGTTGATTTAATTTTATGAAAACATTTAAAACTAGTTGTTTTTTTTTATAATTACATTATTTTAAGGAAAAGTGTTAGTGGCTTGATTTTTTTCTAAGATTTGATTAAAGTGCCTTAATTGTATTAATAAAGAGTATTTTTAACTTAAAATGTATTTTATCTATTAATTAAAACTTCAATTATGATAACTCATGCAAAAATATAGTTCATTAACAGAAAAATATAGGAAAACTCTGAAGTTTTATTTTTACACGTCATTTTTACGTATGATTGGGCTTTATAGCTAGTTAAATATGATTGGGCTTCTAGGGTTAATGTAATGTTTATTAGAGCTCGACAACTTAAAACGATGAAAAATATGACAAAATAAAAATAATCATTTTTAATTTTGTTATAGGTGCACCCCTAGTGATGTCATACCCTCATTTCTTGTTCGCTGATTCGGTTTATAGTAGCGGCGTTATTGGATTAAATCCGGAAGTAGAAGAACACAGGGTTTTTCTTGATCTGGAACCAGTAAGTTCAGATAAAATATCTAATGCCTACTATTTTACTACGTACACACAACACATGCAATTTAGGATAATTTCAAAGAAAAATAGAAGCCTTATTTACTCGTATTTTCAAAATCTGCAAGGACGGTATATTATTATATATTTGAACTTAAGTTTAAATTTTGTCTACTCTTTAAAAAATAACCACGTATAATTTTATTTCATTTTTCACCACAGAACACCGGAACAATTGTCAGAGGCGCAAAGAGAGCACAGTTCAATATCTTCTTACGCCCCGTAAGATCTGTGACGGCGACGAACAACCTTAACACAACATTGACGCCTATTGTATGGTTTGAAGAAGTGAGTAATTATTATGTTGTACTTTTAAAATTTATTTTACGTTTTATTGAATTTTAATAAGCTTTATAGATATTTTTCCCATTGGTAAGTACCTACTTATTAGTAAAAATACAAAATTTTAGAAAGTGATACAAAAGTGTGCTTATTTATTGTAATTACATGGTGGTACAAAACTTACCACAGCTGTCCATATAAGATTTTACAGTCAAATGTGTTTTAACGTTTAATTTTTGTTAAAAATTATTGTAAAGGTGTTCATTACTTAACAAAAAGCTGCGGATCCCCAGATCAAGAAAGTTATTTGATCTGAGCACGGAAAGTAAAAAGTTTTGTTAACCGCATAAATATCTACTATACAATAGCGAAACTATTTTTACAAAGAGGGAATAAAATTTTGCTATTGTGTGAATTTCTTTCTACAGAGCTCGTAAAGGTGTCTTTTATAGAACTAAAAGTTTAAGTTTTCATATACATATAAAGAAAAATAAATATCAGAGATATCACGAATGTTCCGTTTCTATTCGGTTGTTGCGGCATTCGGCGTGTTCGGTCACTTTGTTTAATATTCGGTATTTAATCGAATATTGAAAACTATTAGACCAAATACCAAATCATGAAAAAAAGTCTCACATATTACTCAAACATGAATATATTTTACCAACAAAACGTTACAATTAATACTTAACAGTTATCAGAGGTAAGTTGTGATGAATGAAAACATTCTTTTCAGCATTTGCTGATAGCAACTGTTTGCGCTTTTCCTCATAAACTATTAGTCTAAGATCCGGCTTAAGGAAATAACTCCCCATTCTTTTCCTTGATGAAATAATTTTGTTTGGCTTTTTATTGTGCTGAAGACGGTTGCTCCGGAGTTAGCACTGGTTCACCCGGGGGTTCACCCCTGCCAATTAACAAAAATAAACCTCAAGGATTTTGATAAAAGTCACGTCAGATACCAAAAGAATATCACTTATTTTATAATAGTCTGATTACAGGCAATATTAATAATGATGAGTCTGATAGTGATGAAAAGAACCTGATTCATCTGTTCAGATCTAAGACTCAGATATTGTTTTTTCTAGAAGATATTTTATTTTGTTGAATTTTACTAACACAACAGATACATCCAAAAAATTCAATGGATTAAGAAGAGAAATAAGACGTCTTGTTAATTAGTTTTAATATTAAAATTTTGTTTTCTACCTTTATTCGTGATGTGTTAAGCAAGGTTTTATGGAAGTCATATATACTTAACCGCTTGATTATGAATTGAATAGGTTTTAATAAATAATAAATAGCAAAAAATAAAGTTATTTTCTTATATATCGATACCTGATTCCGCAAATCAACCAACTACACATGTCAAAATTTTACACGAAAAAGTTAAAATTTTCTAATTTCATTACTAATTAGAAATAAAAAAAATCCCGTTGGTGTATTATGTTAGTATCTACTAAATTTCATTTTCTGTTTTATTTAAAATATTGTCATTACTAAAATAGAAACGCTTTTTTGAGTTATCCGATCTTCCTACTAAATAAAAGTATGGTATATGGAGTTAGCTGGTTTTACTTATTATGAAGGTAAAATAAACACAATTTTAATTTAAGTGTAAGGTATTAAAGTATTTATTATTCGTGAGGGAGGTTTTGATAATAATTTTGCTAGTTATCAGGCATGGCATTTTTAACAGTTGTAGATCAAAATACTTTGTTTTCATTTTTCTGCGATAAATTTTGATCCACTTTGCTGTTTCTACGTTGGTTGAATAATGTATATTGGTCAGAGAATCTGAGTTTGTAATCAACTATTCCGAAAGGATCGTACTTGAGACACCTTGCGTCGGTTACCTGAAAAAAGATCAACATTATCATAGCTATAACTACACCAAAACCACGTACGTAGGTATGCTTCTTGATCGTATAAATAGGAGAAAATGTTTAAAGAAGATGAAAAGGATGCACGAAAATGACGGTCTATAAGGTCGAATATTGAATGAAATTAAGCTCTTTGAACGACTTATCGTGTGTGAGCAAAGTGGAAGTTATGGGTAAGAAAGATGTGCCAGGATAATGAAAAATGAAGACATTTAATCTCTGGCCATGATGACTGGGAGACAGACGTGATGCTAATGTATGTATATGTGTAGGTAAGGGTGTATGTATGTGTGTGTGTATGGTTATATGTTATGGATATGTGTTTTATGTAGATACTAGACAATAGCTTCGACTGCTTTTTGATCAGTACCTACGGATCTCCTTTCATTTTTCCTGGTCTGATAGACTTGTAAAAGATCAGGTTCTGGAAATTCTTAAAGTGGTTATAATTTAAATATTTTATTTGATATGGTTTGCTGTTTCTGGCCTTCCGACAATTTTTCATATATTCTGCCGGGACATTAGTCGTTTGGTGTTTTAGCTTCCTCTCAATCATAGCGTGTGTTACGGATCGCCGTAACGCCGTTCGAAAAATGAATGAAACGCGTTGGTCTTGCTTAAACTGGAGGCAAGCGGCGGTGAGGAGGAACTTTTTCTTTTCTTGCTGCTGTTTCCTTTTCTGTAGCTGGAGAGCGACTGCCGACCGTTCCGGCCGGCCCGTCTTATATACGATTTGGCCGTTGCTGGCCAGCGGACCCTTGCCTCACCCCCGCGCCTTTCTTTATTAGGTAGATTTCTTACAAACTAATGAACAGACTTAAATATATAACATTCTTACAACTACTTATTAAACTAATATTTACATAACAATTTTTCTATATACTAATGGTTAAAAGGTTGTTTTTCCAGCAATTTTGAGCTGAGGACCCTGCCCCCCGCCTCAGTACTATAAATATAAAACGTCGTGGCGCGGCGCGCGTAGCCTCATTCGCTCCGCGGCCGCGTCACGGTAACATGCCCTGTTTATTATTTTTCGTACCTAAAGGCTTAATATATAAGAAATTAAATTGCAATATACAAAAGAATACATTTTACATATAATACTTACTCTACAATTTGGCATTAATTAATTTCTATATTCTAAATCTATGTTAACTCTCGCCAGTTGTTCGGTGCCTTTATTGCGAGAGTTATTACATAGTTACAATACTATTTATTAAAAATTAAAAGCTATATTTCTCAATATTATTGCTACGGCTTTTCCCGCGTTGCTGTGGGCAACCATCGCTAGTTGTGGAACCGTGAACGCGCCCCGACGATCATAACATTCTCATGGCTCCGCCCACCGCCCCTAGGTTGTTCAACTAGCGATGGTTACGACAAGCAATCCGTAAGTCATTTCGTTCGACGTATTACTATGTTTGCGTCGTGCACATTCTCCCGCCGTCGCCACGCTGCGATCCCTCTGGTAGCACGACGATCTTCTTTGTCGGTCTTCGTAGTACATGCCCCGTGCTTGTGGTTACGTCCACTACTCGTACCTCTCCGTCGACGCCAGGATATACGTTGCTGATTTTCCCCCTGGGCCAGATGTTGCGTGGTAGATTGGAGTCACAAATGATGACTAGGTCTCCAATCTTCGGTGATACGCCTATGCTGCTGGGCTCCCGCCGGTGTTGGAGTAGGGGCAGGTATTCTTTTACCCACCTTCTCCAAAACACGTCGGCCAGGGCTTGAGCTCGTTTCCACTGCTGGCGGGCCGTCACGTCACTCTCGCTGAAGTGTCCCGGCGCAGATACGTGCGAGTTGGGACCGATGATGATGTGATTCGGCGTGATGGCTTCTGGGTCTCCTGGGTCGACTGAGACGTATGTGAGAGGTCTTGAGTTGACCGTGTTTTCGACCTCGACGAGCAGGGTCACCAAGGTCTCGTCACTGGGATAGCGCTCGTTGAGGGTGACGCGTAGAGCTTCTTTCACGGAGCGAACCATTCTCTCCCACTGGCGGTATGTACTTCCACACAATTTGTCGACATGTGGTTTCGTGCTCGAGGGCTGCGAGTGCTGCTTCGGCCAGCTCCTTGTCGGCTGCCTTGAAGCAAGTAGCGTTGTCACTCCATATTTCTTTTGGGCATCCTCTTCTGCTTATAAAACGCCTGAGCGCCGACACGGCTGAGTCGGCGCTTAAAGAGTGGGCTACCTCTACGTGTATTGCTCGTGATGTCATGCTGGTGAATAACGCGCCATAGCGCTTTTCACGATGTCGTCCCACTGTGACCTCTATTGGCCCGAAGTAGTCCAGTCCGGTGTATGTGAACGGACGTGCGTGATGAGCGAGGCGTGCGGACGGCAGGTTTCCTGTAGATGGTGATGCAGGCTTGGCTTTTCTTAGACGGCACGGTAGGCAGCTTTTGACGACAGTTTTCACCACTGGACGTATTTTTCTTATGTACAGTCTCTGTCTTAATTCGTTCACGACTGTTTCCACGCCTCCGTGATGCAACCTCTCGTGTGCGTGTGTTATGTACAGACGAGTGTATGCGTGTTTCCCGTCTAGTATGGGAGGGTCGTACGTGTCCTCTTCCACTTCTGATGCTGCTTTTATTCGACCTCTGAGGCGTAGGGTCCCCTCTTCATCGATGTATGTGCTCAGGTGGCCTAATTTGTCGTCACCTCCCGGAACACTTCCGTTGGCGATCCTCTTGAGCTCCTTCGTGAAGCTTTCCCGCTGACTGGCTTGCACCCACAGTTGTTCGGCTCTTACGTGATAAGCGGCCGGTATTCCTACAAGTGATGAGACAGTAGGAGTTGCCTTTTTCTCCTTGGCGGGGATGTTGCGTTTGTTTGTTCTTTGCCAGCCAGGGTCGCTATCTTGTCTTGCTCGGTTGCGTTTACGCCCAGCCTTCACCATGTGCTTGTTTGGTCTGCACATGTCGATGAATAGGAGGACTCTCGCTGTCGCCCTTATGAGGCGAATCCATTTTGAAAATCTTTCTATTTGTGGCAGATGTGTTGTTGGCGAGTCTAGACTTTTAACTGCGATGTTACATACTTCTTGTTCTTCACCGGTATCGTATTATGTCGTTTTCTCTTCCTGCGGCCATTCTGCTGGTGGACGTTGCAG